TTACATTTTCTTTTATTTTTTATATTTTTTTATTTTTAATATTTTTTTATTTTGATATTTTTTTTATTTTTATATTTTTTTTATATTTTTTTTTAATTTCTTTTTATTTTTTATATTTTTTTTTATTTTTTATATTTTTTTTATTTTTTTTTATTTTTTATATTTTTTTATTTATTATATTTTTTTATATATTTTTAATTTATTTTTATTTTTTATATTTTTTTATTTTTATTTTTTATATTTTTTTTATTTTATATTTTTTATATTTTTTTATTTTTTATATTTTTTTTATTTTTTATATTTTTTTATTTTTTATATTTTTTTATTTATTATTTTTATTATTTTTTTTTTTATTATTTTTTTTTTATTTTTTATGTTTTTATTTTTATTTTTTTTTATTTTTTATGTTTTTATTTTTATTTTTTTTTATTTTTTATGTTTTTTTTTATTTTTTTTTTATTTTTTATGTTTTTTTTTATTTTATTTTTATTTAAATATATATTAATAGCTTAAATTTTTTATTTTTATTTTTTATATTTTTTTATTTTATATTTTTTATATTTTTTTATTTTTTATATTTTTTTTATTTTTTATATTTTTTTATTTTTTATATTTTTTTATTTATTATTTTTATTATTTTTTTTTTTATTATTTTTTTTTTATTTTTTATGTTTTTATTTTTATTTTTTTTTATTTTTTATGTTTTTATTTTTATTTTTTTTTATTTTTTATGTTTTTTTTTATTTTTTTTTTATTTTTTATGTTTTTTTTTATTTTATTTTTATTTAAATATATATTAATAGCTTCAAAATTTTAATATTTTCTTTTATTTTGTATATTTTCTTCTATTTTGTATTTTTTTTTTATTTTGTATATTTTTTTTATTTTGTATATTTTTTTATTTTGTATATTTTCCCTTCATTTATTTTTTTTTATATTTTCCTTAATTTTTAATACTTTCTTCTATTATTTAATTTTCTTTAATATTTTTATATTTTCTTTTGTTTTTTTTTTAATTTTCTTTAATTTTCTTATATTTTTTGTTTTGTAATATTTTTATATTTGTTTTTAATAATTTCTTTTATTTTTTTAATATTTTCTTTATTATTATTTTAATATTTGCTTTAATTTTCTTTTAATTTATTTGATGGTTTCTTTTATTATAAAATTTTCTTTCATATTTTTTTATGATTTTTATATATCTGTTTAAATATTTTTATATATCAGTTTTAATTTTTTTTTTTTTCAGTTTTAAATATATTTATTTTTCTGTTTTAATATATTAATATTTTTCTGCTTGAAATATTTTGTTTATTTAATTTTATTTTTGGTGTTTTTATATTATTTTCATTTTCTTATTTTTAAATTTTTATTTTTTCATATTTTTTAATTTTATATTTTTCAATTTTGTTTTACTTCTAATACATTATTTTTGAAATCACCTTAGTATATATGTATGTATATACATATTAAGAAATATTTTTACCCACACATGAAATCAATTAGTACAGTTTTTAAAAATATGATTTTGTGAAAATTAGAAGAATTTATATTTTGACGTCAGCATAACGAAACAGGAATAACGTCGCCCCGTCATAAGCTATCAACGTGGCAGCGACTGACGGACATACATACACGTATGCATACTCATGTTATTGTATGAATGCTGGCCTACTGGAAAGAGATGTGAGCGTCAAATGCAACACGAGAAAATAGAAAACATACAGTAAATTGAAAGACAGCAACAAAGATGTCGTAGCCAAAGCGAGAAGAGCAATGTTTTTCACAACCTGCTCGCGAAAGCTTAAATGGCCCAAGCTGTTTTACTTTAAAGCTTTATTAGAAGTTCGCTTCGAAAACCTTACAATGTTTTTATGCTTACGCATGTATGTATATATAACAGACAATGTTTATTGCTGTTAGAGTAGCGGAAACATTCCTCGCGCCGTCTACAGTGAAAAGCACCGTAACGTTTAGCTTTAAAAAGCTTATAATATAACCGTTATACACAAGCTCCAAATGGAGAACTCTACACGGTGAACTATCATAAAGCAACAAAAGCTCACTCATTGGCGCTTCAAGTAAGAGTGCATGAATTTAAAGCAAAAACTTTAAGTAAATAAAATTATTAGTTTTTGTAGAACTCTTCGGGCATTACTAGTGTAGAGAGGAAAAGACCGGTGAAGCTTTTGACATTGTTTTCTCCTTTTGTAGACGTCTCCAAACGATGACAGCAATAAAAGCGTTGAAGTCAACAACAACAATGATGCTAGAGAAATTGATTGCTGACGGTAATGCAAAGAGCAAAGGAGACCACAGTTCCAATGGTAGAAGTCATGTGCAACACATCTGTATAAGGAAATGTGGAATGGTTCGGCTGCTGCATCAATTGTTATGGAAATCGATAATTCAAAAATAGGAAAATTATAAAATTGGCCACAAAAGTCTATTCTCCTTTTTTTAATAAAAATTTGCTAACCTTATAATATTTTAATTTTATTACTTGCCTTTACTTCAATTTACATCTCTCTATATGATTTTATCTTATGATATTTGTTTAATTATTTTACTTTCATTTCACCTTTTACACCTTGTATCTCTTTCTATTTTCATCAGCAAACAGCTTATCTTATCATCTTCCATTATTTATCAAGATATTATCTACGCTCTTTCGTAGTGGTAAAAGTAAAATTTATTTTAAGTATAAGTACATACATGTATGTGTGTACACATGTATGGTGTCAGATCTTCACATTTTAACAGTAATTATTGCAAATAAAACAAATTTCCCCCTTTCATTCTTCAACTGCAGACACCTTTAATGAATATCCCTCCTGCGATTTTTGTGTTTCTGTACGTTTTTCATTCAATTTCCTTTCACAAACTTTTTCTCCCTCTGCTCCTCTCTGTCTCTTCGAAGCGCATTTACGCAAAAATAAAGTTTTAATAACAAAAGCTTACGGATAAATGTTGACGATTGAGCAAACACATACAAACACGCATGAATGGACTTATGAATGCATAACGTAGAATGATTGAAAACGTATAGACCACAGAGATAATCATTACATGATGCACATACATATTCGTACTTCTATACACAAAATATAAATAAATCTCAGTCTAGCCTTTAACCTTCAAGTACGAGGGTCGACTCCCACGAGAGCCGGCTCTGCGTACAGGAGTTTACCCGGATTTTGTTCCGGACGAGGGAAGTTACTTTTCGACTAGCGCTTAGGTCCGCAGGTAAAGCTCGCTTGCCTACCTGTTTGGTCGAGAAGTAAAGAAATTGATTTTCCAATAAAAGATTTTTCTAAGCCACCTTAGCAGCTTTGAGAAGCTCCTTTATTTCATATCAATATTGCATGGCTGTGCCTTCGCGATAAATTGTGAAATATATTAGAGGATCTCCACCCCGAACTCAGTATGTTTGAATGGTGTAGACGACGTCCTTTGTCCTCATAAGCTTCGAAGTGCACCATTTATTTCCAATTTTTCCCAGTGTACAGTGCAATGCTCGCTAAACTGACTGCACTGTTGTGTATGCATGTGCTGTTTTTGTATGTTTATAGGTATGAAAGAGCGCGAATGCTTAATCAGAAACGCATCATTGCAAGCAGAACTCTTAATCTGGCATTAATACAATTTTCAATGAGATACGCGAGGGCTACATACACACAAATGTAGGCATGAAAACATGCACAGAAGCGATTGTAATGGTCAAACGTGATCTACAAAGGTGCATGGAGGAAGACTTATATGTAGTGAATGCCCTAAACACACGCGACCAGTGGGGGAGAGCGAGAGTGGCTGACTGAGCTGGCAGAACAACTAAGCCGCGAATGCTTAATCAGAACTAAGGGACAAACAACAGAACTGTTAGTAGTGGCAACCAGTCGATGGGAGGGAAGACGGGGAGCCATATATTATCTACTGCAAACAACAAAATTTGTATAGCACAGAAAGGAGGGCAGAGAGATGAGCAGGAGTATCACCTCCCTCGATAGTTGCATTTGCAACGGATTATTGTTGTAGTTTTTGTGCTTCTGCTGTGGCTAGTGTCTCTCGCTTCATTACCATTTCCCTCACACATCTACACAGCGCTTTGTTGTTACTATTTTAGGCCTTTCAGAGTCTTGTATCGCTGCTTTGATATGATGTTTGACCCATATTGGAATTTGTCTGCCGGATTGCCTACCCCCCTCGTGGATTTGCTACCGTAGGCTCGTCCGACATGCACTGCACAAAGAGTGCGGCTGGTGTCCAACGAGCAGCTTAAGAGAGAGAGAGAGAGAGAGAGAGAGAGAGGGGGCGACGCTTATTACGTGTCGTGAATTACAATGAAATACCTTTTTCTATGTCAACAGCAGAATTCGTGTGGTGAGCCTAACAATTGTTTGTAAACAAGTCTGCGCCGTGTTGGGGGTAGGGAAGGGAAGAGCGTCTAAAGCCAGTGTGGCTGTAGTGACGGTATTTTTAGTTGCGGCCGAGTTACAAGGTGCTTGAACCCGACTCGGTGGTTATGAATATGAGTGAACGCGATTGTTGTGTTGACGACACGACAGGGGTTTCGAATTATGTCATAAAGCGAATAGTATATTTTTAGAATTTTTATGAGAAGCATTCCGCTGCTGAAGCGTGACAGGGAATCATAACACATGAATGTCTGCAGTCGATTTTCAACACGATAAGGGACTGAGGGTTGATGATTTCAATATCAAAAGCAACCACATCATCACATCTATAAAGATTACAGGAACTCAAATATCTGTATATTTTTTCAAAACTCCCACACCTGACCATCGCGTTGGCGAATTTCAGACGCCTTATTCCCCATTAAATGCCCGAAACATAGAACTATCCACCTTCTCGCAGATTAAACCGAACGAAGCGACTGAACCAGCTCGGGACAACCAAGATGGATTATTCAGCAATCTAGTTGGGATTTGGACTTTGAACACCCAATATTTGAGAAAAGTTAAAACTCATTTTGTACTCACCTTCGTTATCGCTGCGACGTGTGCGTGGCATGCTATTGTAATACTGTTGTAGTAATTCTGATTTCTCAGTCGACTCGTTCTCTTGTTTCTCATCTTCGGTGTAGACCGGCGAGCATGGTCCTGACGAGGCGCTAGCGGCTGGCGACGATGACGTAGCAGAATTAACACTGCCACTCAAACCGTTTGCACCGCCACCCAAACTGTCGACGGAGCCACGTTTGGCCGCCACTGCAACACACTGGAATGTAGCAGAAGTGGGCGAGGAGGGCGTCGGACGCTCTTCACCCTCAATGAGATCAATCGATTTTTTACGTGGCTTCTCTGGCGGCACAGGCGCACTTGTGGAGGCAGCGGCTATAGCTAGTTGTTGTTGTTGTTCGTCAAGTGAACGTTGGAGAGCAGCAGTGACCGCTGCCGATTTGGCAGGTGGCGGCGGTGGCTGAGTTGATACATCGGGTAACTTTGTCGGTGAACGTACGCGTTCCGGATTGAATTTTACCGGACTGACATTCTTCGGTTTGACAGCTGGTATGGGTGGCAATGGGGGCGACTTGATGGGGCTACCAATTTTATTGGTACTGCGCGGCTTAATCTCCGGCGGTACCACAGAGTGACGTACCGGCGGACTAGGTGGATGATCTTGCGGTTGCTGGTGCTGTTGAGCAGCAGTCAAAATGGGTGAGCGCAACTGTTCCATATTAGATACAGCCACATTGGCAGCGGTTGGTTTGTGATTCAAGTTTGGAGAGACTGCACTACTGCCAATATTGGCATTATCCTTTTCTCTGTCTCGCTCTTTATCACGTTCCCGATCACGATCACGATCACGATCGCGATCTCTGTCTTTCTCTTTTTCTCTCTCCTTTTCTTTCTCACGCTCCTTCATCTGTATGACCGAGCCGGAGAAGAGCGTTGTGCCAGGCACGGTGCGAATTATGTCACAGCGATTTTGGTCGCTGTGTGTACGGTTGGATTTGGTTTTCGTGAAATGTGAGGTCCACTTCTTTTGTTTTTCGATGAGTTCTCGTGAATTAAATTTACGTTCGGGTTTTTCCGGCTTATCGACACTACCACCACCACCACCAGCTGCTGACAGTATGGCACCCACACCGCCAACCGAAGAACTGCTTAGCACACCGTCTTCGGATTTGTGACGTGCAATATTGTGATGTAGTTTCGTAGCCGGTTCCACGATAAACTTATTATTACTCAGAGCCAAACCACCATTCAGCTGCGGCGGAGGTTGGACGCAATTATTATTATTCGCTAGCGAAGCGGCTACATTACAACCCGGCGGGAATGGCGAGCGACGTTTCGGTGGCGATATCGAGCGATCTGACGAACGCGAAGATGAACGATCCGAGTTATTACCTTCACAGAGATTATCGTCACGCGAGCCGGAACGTGACATTTTTACGTTCGAATTTGAATTGCTCTCCACCCCAAGCTTCTCGAAGAGCGCTCGGGCATTATTGAAACGAGCCGAATGGGACTCGGTTCGTACAACCGTGGCAGCGACACCACCAACAACACCTTGTTGCTGGTTGGCTGCAGCGGCAGCGGCGGCGGCGGCAGCAGCAGCGGCTGCTGCAGCGGCACTCAACTGTTCCACAGGCTGTATTTCGATCGGTTTGCGCTGGAATAGATTCGCAATTTGCGAAACTTTACCAACTGGCGTCGGATGTATGGGTTTCTCCATTTTGGCGGTGAATAAATGTGTTCACGTGCGGTATGAGAATCGTCTGGAAGAGAAAAAAGAAAATACGAGTATGTTAACGAAATGTCTTAGCTGCTAAATTTCGATAAGCGAAACCAAAACAAAAATAATTATAATAATTTCATAGGCCTTAGATATCCTAAAAACCCTAGATTGAATGTTGGAATGTGGTTTTCGATGCAAAACAGAGTTAAAAATTAAAATATGAATTTCAGTTGCGTTCGAGGATAAAAAGCATAACTCAATATCCCTGGGATAGCGGTAATTTGTTTTCCGTCTAATGACGAGCGAGAACTTCGCTTTAGAGCACTGAAATATCTAGTCAGGGATGCAAAGACCAATATTCTAAACCGAAATGACCACAGAAAATGAAGAAACGAAGGGGAATGGGGGAAATCTGATCACCCCTGCGGTTTAGGGGTTCGAGAATTTAACCGCGGTAAGGCATGCCTGTCGTAAGAGGCGACTAAAATCCAATAGTTCCCGCGAGAGTCGGGTTTTTATACCGGAACGACCAGGATTTTTATCCAGCCAAGGACTGTCACTTCCGCAACATTCCCTAAAAAGTATAGGGAATATTTTGCGGTTACAACAACAACAATAACAACAGGGAAATCTGATATTCATATCACATCCTAAGGGATGGTGAGTTTACATAAAATAATTTAAATAACGGAAACACGTGAATTAAAACTAAAAAAAAAACCCATTTTCCGGTCAACGGCATAGAAAACTGACGAAAAGAGCTGTAAAATCTGAAAAATTAAACTGCTAAGTTTACCGATAAAATATTATGAATAAAATAGTTTGAATTGGTCATGTGCTAAATTATGACTCTAAAAGATTACAAGCCAAATTACCATTTTGATTGATTGCACTTTCATTTTTCACAAAAAAAAAACGAAATCGAAAGCACAAAAATAGATAAATTAAAAATTAAAAGCAAACAAATTTCAAAGACAAATTTCTTCCATTCAATGCCAATTAATTTCGAAAAAAAAAAACACTTTTACTTCCGATGACACCCACGAGCGAGCGCTGATGGAAGGCGCTTTCAACTCGAATTGAAATCAAACAGATCACGTTTCATTTATTTGTTGTATTTTCATTTATACTTCATTTGTGATTTTACGATTGTTTTGTTTCTTTTTTAACACATTCGCGCACAAAACAAAGTGGAGAGAAAAATAGTAATAAAAGAGAAATAGCCAAAAATTGTTAACTTCCACTTGGGATTGCGCTTTAGATTCGCTTTTCTGCGAAAGTCACTATTTGTTCGTTGTTGTTTATTTATTTCCTATTTCATTTTATTTTTCCCTTTTAATTTTGAGGTTTTCGTGCATATTTTAAACTGTTTCACTTAACAAGCTCCGCCTTTGCCATCACAACTGTTGAAAATTCAATTGACTACACCTGTAACGGTCGTGTGACTGACTGAGCGATGACTGAAGTCAATGAAGGCGGTGAATGAGCAGGAAGAAAGCCCGAGCAATAATATCAGTGGGTTGGTTATTGCTGTTGATGTGATGATAGCACACGGTATATATATATTTTTTTGCAATTTTGCTTGATTTTTACTGATGTACGTACATACAAACATAATTACAATGGATGTTATCGAAGAATTTCTTGTACAAGAAATTGATTTAGGTGTCCATGAAAACTCTGCGACATATGTATGTAGGTGTGCATGAATGAGTGAAAGAAAGAAAGTACAAAAACTTCATGAAGAAGCAAGTGAATGAAAATGTGCAAAATAATGAACGCAACGAATGAAGGATGAGAGAGAGTTAAGCGAAAACTTCTATGGAATCGCAATAAACTTGCGCAGAGAAAGGCATTTATGGGAGAACTTGGTCACTTCTCGGTCGCTTCGTTTGGAGTGAATGCGAAAAGAATAACAGCAAAAATACAAAGCAATTAATTAACACAACAACATGATATGTGCATACATACATATAATGGGCAGGTGGTGTTCAAATTAATAGAATTTACAATTTTATGAAAAATTTTTTAACTTGGAATGAAACTTTTTAGTAACTAAATTTTCTTATAATGGGAAATTATAAAGCACTGTGCATACATACTATATATACATATATAATATTTTCATTTCTTTACAACAAATAAACATTTTTGAACCGTTTCTTTTATTTTTTATAATAATTATTTTGTTTCTTTCTAAAGGTACACGTTCCATACTACGATTCGTTTAATATTATTATTTAGAAGCTACGTGAAAATTAACTTTTTTTACTTAATTTTTCTTAATTTTTTTAATCATTTTTAGAACTCGAATATAAAACAATCAGATTATTCAATTATAGCTTGAAGAAAAGAATAATTACTGTTAAGATAATAATAATATTAACATTATATTACAATTTAGAGAATAAATATAAATATAAAATACTGCAATATAATATTTTGCCAACAAACTTTTTAGGTATGAATTAATTTAATTGCACAAAAAAATATATTTTGTAATATTTATTATTTTCAATTTAACAAAAAAAATTAAGTTGCGTTTTTTACTACTTTTGTTTGCTATTTCCTGACAAATATAATGGGATTTGCTCAAACTTAACCTTTATATAATATTACTTCTTTCCTCTCTTCATTTAAATTCTGGTTTTTTAAAATTCAACATTTTAAGCTTTTTTTTTTGGTTTTTACTATTTTTAAATTTTTATTATAATTATCTTTAAAATCAATCTTCTTAAATGTTTTTTTTTAAGTTTTAAAATTTAATTAATAAATATGTTAGATAATTCAAATAATTTTAATTTAATTAAAAATTGCTTAATTCGTACATTTTTAAATTATTTTAATTCCTTAACTTCTTAATTTTTATATTTTAATATTTTTATTTATTTCTTATTTTTTATTTTATTTCTTAGAATTCAATTTTTTTTTTGAATTTTTATATACATTTTTAATGTATTTAATTTTTTAGTTTATTTATTTGATTGGTTTTTTATTAAAATTTTTATTATTTGCCCCAAACTTCTATTTCAATGAGCACCGACTGTATGCTCACACTTATCAGCTTATCAGCATGTTTTTGTACGTATGTATATATGTATATATGACGCGTATGCGTTCACTGGCGCTGAAATGCAGACCAGAGAGTTTGTAAATTGGCGGCAGAACAAGAAATCCACATTTGATTGAGAAGCCAACTGTTAATTTCAACGCACCCGTGATTTCTTTTGCAAATGAAAACAACATTTTTTTGATAACACTTTTCCAAGAAACAGTAAAACATAAACACTTTAACATTGTTATGCATGTAGTAAATGAAGCCAAAAAAAAATAATAATAATTTAAGAAACATATATACATATAATATAATTATTATATTTAAATAAATATTAGTCATAATTAAAAATAATAATAAAAAATAATATACAAATAATTAAATAAAAAAAAGATAAAAGATATTAATAATAAAAAAATAATAAAATTAAACAAAACATAGTAAATTAAAGAAAGGAACTAGAAAATAAAAGAAACATAAAATAAAAATAGAAACATTAAAACGCAGATTAAAAACAAAATAGAAATATGTTTATAAAAACACAATAACTAAACTGAAATAAAAATAAAGTAAAAAATTTAAAAAATGGAAAAAAATATTATTACTAATTATAATATTTAAAGTATATTAAAATATAGGAAATATTAGGGGAACCGATTTCCAGACCGACCAAAAACAAACGCGCAGAAATCCGTTTGACGACTTTATTCATTCAACATCACAAAGAGACAACAAACTTAGCGTAAATCTAATATCTGTACATATTTCTTATTTTCTAAAAATCATGGCATACTATTCTAAATCAATGAATATGTGATTTGTTGTATTCATACATTTCAAAGTGTTTACTTTTGAAGTATATTTCAACAGGAAACTTATACAAAATTTAAATAAGTTTGGAAAAAAATTGGAATAAATTATTGTAAAAAATAAATGAAAATATAAAATAAATAAAAAATGAAAAGAAAAAAAGAACTGTATGTGAAAAATACAACTGAAAAAAATGTACATTTTCCTTTTTTCGATTTAGATAATTTTTACTATGTTAGGTCTTCTATTGTTAAAAACAAACATTTGACTATTATCATTTATGCTGCTCAAAAAAGGTAAAAATAAAAAAAATAAAAATAAGAATAAAAATTTAAAAAAAAAAATTAAAAAAATGGAAAAATAGAAAAATTATTAAATAAACATAAATAGAAATAACAAACAGAAAACTGAAATATAAAAAAATTAAGATTTAAAAACTAAAAATCAGAAAATATGAAATAATATAAAAATTAAAAAAATGATATTTACACATAAAAAAAAACTGAGTTTACGTATTTCCGAAGCACACTGTATTTCTTTTGTTTATTTTAAAATTATCGCAATGTGTGATCAACAATTATCATTCAGACAAAGGTAAACACAGAAAAATAGATAATAATACCGACAAATAATGTCCCGAACGAAGTTTGCGTCATTGAAATTAAAACGATAACAGAAAGGTGGGGGAATTTGCATACACCAATGTCAAAATATTAAAATAATTAAGTGAAGCTTGTCATAAAAGTAGTAAATGAAATAAAGAATCAAATTATTAGACCTACCACAATGGTCCAACGACAGGAACTACGCTCAGAACACACACTTCACGAACTCGCGCTACCCAACACACACATCGCACAGAGCAAACAATTTTTGAAATAAAGGATATTTTCATGTTATTCTTGCTTTTCCAAAATTATATCAAAAGTTTTGCTTGTATTGCATAATCACACTCCTCACTGCAGCATTGTGAGATTTTTTAAATATTTTTGGTCACAAAATGGAAAACATTTTTTCAATCATTATGAGCAAATATCAAACCGTTTAAGAAAACCGCGAAAAAACGTCGGATTTGTAAGAAAACACAGCACATACATATATAATATGTAAATTATTTGAAATCAAATACAAATATTATTAGCAACTTTCAACAAAGTTTTGAAACCGTTAGCCGA